CTTAAGTCCCCTGCCAGTCATGCAATTATATCTTTGGACTAATGCAGAAAAAGAAGAAAAAGAACACATGAATTTGAAGACCGCTACAATCTCTCTTTCTCTCTCTGTCTCTCACTTTGTCCCTCTCTTTCCCTCACTTTGTCTCTCTCTTTCTCTTTCTCTCACACATACACAGCCATCTTTATTTCATACTCAAACTTTATTTACATAACAGTATTGCTGACTCTAGGAGTCAGGGGCTGAGGGTAGTTTTAAAATAAGAAATAACCAGAATTTCTTCAAACTGATGCAAAACGCAAAATTTCTGGTTAATTACAGGCTCTGAGGTTGTTGCCTTTTGATCTTCTAGGGTGAACTTAGTTGTGTATCCTTTACAAGATGTTGCAGAACAAATCCTAAATTTGTTTGGCTGTTTGTAGTTGTTCTAGTCAAATTGTATGTTCAGTAGTTTGCTTTTGCTTTTTAAATAGTCAGCTCTCAGTACCACTATCGAAACCAATGCAAACCAAATCGAGCGTAACTGGGATCGAACCTGAGAGCTAATAGACTATAATGGTTAGGGCATATAGAAAGAATGGCAGATAACAGAGACAAAAATTGCAAACACAAAAATAGTTGAATGGGAATAGACTGAGGCCTACCAAGAAGATAGTGGAGAGATAATATACAGGCAGACCTTCAGACACTGGCATTATGAAATACATTCGCAACACCTAAGCTTTAGATGCTGGGGATGCAAGGGTTACAAATCTCTTGGGGTTTTCACTGGAGCTACAGTGTTGATGCTTTGTGGGATGCTGACTGCATTTATAGATGCTTTCAGCCACTCAGTGTGGGATAAAAGAAGGGTGCAATGAAGTCAGTCTTTCAATCTTTAAAAACTTTCTTTCTTTTCAGCTGCAAATCGCAAGTTGTTGCATGAACAGGAAGCAGAAAAAATGTTGATACATTTGCTCCATGTTGATGTTGCGGATGTGCAAGCGTCTGCTGCCCTTGCATTAGCCATAATCAGTGAGAATTTTACTGCTAGAGACTCCATCAGACAGTGGGGTAAGTATTGTGTTTGGTAGAGGTAAATTAGATAGTTGCTTGGGGTAAATGTTGTGTTTGGTGGAGGAAAATTAGGTAGTTGCTTGGGGTAAATGTTGTGTTTGGTGGAGGTAAATTAGATAGTTGCTTGGGGTAAATGTTGTGTTTGGTGGAGGTAAATTAGGTAGTTACTTGGGGTAAATGTTGTGTTTGGTGGAGGTAAATTAGATAGTTACTTGGGATAAATGTTGTGTTTGGTGGAGGTAAATTAGGTAGTTACTTGGGATAAATGTTGTGTTTGGTGGAGGTAAATTAGATAGTTGCTTGGGGTAAATGTTGTGTTTGGTGGAGGTAAATTAGGTAGTTACTTGATGTAAAAATGTTGTGTAGGGTGGAGATAAATTAGGTAGTTACTTGGGGTAAAAATGTTGTGTTTGGTGGAGGTAAATTAGGTAGTTTCTTGGGGTAAATGTTGTGTTTGGTGGAGGTAAATTAGGTAGTTACTTGGGGTAAATGTTGTGTTTGGTGGAGATAAATTAGGTAGTTACTTTGGGTAAAAATGTTGTGTTTGGTGGAGGTAAATAAGGTAGTTGCTTGGGGTAAATGTTGTGTTTGGTGGAGGTAAATTAGGTAGTTGCTTGGGGTAAATGTTGTGTTTGGTGGAGGTAAATTAGGTAGTTGCTTGGGGTAAATGTTGTGTTTGGTGGAGGTAAATTTGGTAGTTGCTTGGGGTAAATGTTGTGTTTGGTGGAGGTAGATTAGATAGTTGCTTGGGATAAATGTTGTGTTTGGTGGAGGTAAATTAGATAATTGCTTGGGGTAAGTGTTGTGTTTGGTGGAGGTAAATTAGATAGTTGCTTGGGGTAAATGTTGTGTTTGGTGGAAGTAAATTAGATAGTTGCTTGGGATAAATGTTGTGTTTGGTGGAGGTAAATTAGATAGTTGCTTGGGGTAAATGTTGTGTTTGGTGGAAGTAAATTTGATAGTTGCTTGGGATAAATGTTGTGTTTGGTGGAGGTAAATTAGTTGCTTGGGGTAAATGTTGTATTTGGTGGAAGTAAATTAGATAGTTGCTTGGGATAAATGTTGTGTTTGGTGGAGGTAAATTAGATAGTTGCTTGGGATAAATGTTGTGTTTGGTGGAGGTAAATTAGATAGTTGCTTGAGGTCAGTGTTGTGTTTGGTGGAGGTAGATTAGATAGTTGCTTGGGGAAAGAGGTAATCTGACTGGTAGAGATTGAGTAGATGGATACTGGGGTAAGTAGTAATTTGACCAACAGAGATTGAGTAGAAATGACCTCAAATGACCTCAAGGGTAAGTAATAATTTGACTGGTACTTATTGAGAACTTGCCCACACTGTGAGGGTTGCTTTCCCTCCCATTCATGTCCTGGTCGGTTGCACTGCCTGCCCTATGTTGTGGGTGTATTATGAGATGGCTTCAATCGGCGATTCGCTTGCCATACATAATGTTTGTGGGAGGTTGTGGTGTTGTGAGTTTCTTTGAGGCACCGCAGGCATCTGTGAACAAGTAAGAAGTACTGCAAGGGTATCATCGAATGTGCGTCTGAATGCGAGGATTGAAACTATGATGTTTTTTGTATTTCTATGTTTCTTGACAGTGTCCCCCCCACCCCCCCCCCCCCCCACCCTTTCCCCAGAAAGAAAAGCCACTGCAAGGAACATTTATGGCCCTCACGACCATCCCTTTTCCCCACAGCAAAGAAAAGCCAGAACAGTCAACCGTTGAAAAGGATTAAAAACTCAGTGGATGTTTTTGTATTTCTGTGTTCCTTGGCAGTAAATAAAATAATACCTGCACAGTATATGGCAGCTGAACTAGCCATGCAGCCCTAAATCTTCAGGTTCAAGAGCCCCCACTAGCCCCTTCCATCACCCTAAAAAGTGATAAATACAGTCAGTAGACACCCTGAATCTTTTTCCAGAATTTGAGTTTTGCATGCACATCTGTTAGTTCCTTGCATCTCAGGCAAATGCCCTCCAGCTTTGAAGGAAAGACCCTTAATTAGTCACCTCTAGTGATATGCTTGTGGGGAGATGAGTAGAAATGGGGGGGAGGAGGGGGGGGGAGGGGGTCTACTCTTTCTTCTCAAGAATGTAGTACCAGACTCCACATGGAGCACATTCTGATTGAGTCTACAAATTATTTTCAACTTGCAAGACTGAATGTGTGTATATTTTCTGGTGCAGGTGGCCTCTCCCCCCTTCTGAAACTCCTCAGGTCAGACAATGGAGAAGTCAAGGAATCTGCAGCATTAGCTTTGGCTAACTTAACAACAGGGAACTCTCTGAACTGTCTGTAAGTTGTTGTTTAGCTTGTCGGTGCTTTTTCACTGGGCTATATATATATATATATATATATATATATATATATATATTTCTGATTGTATATGTTTGTGCGCAGCCTGTGTGCATACACAGTGTACAAGTATACGTGCTCAATATATGTGTGTGCATGCATGTACAGTGTGTACATGCATGATGTATATGTGCACATAGGTCTGTGCACATGTACAGTGTGTGTTCAATGTGTGTGCATGTGCAGGGTGTGTATGTATGTGTGTGTGTAAAAGGGATGTATAAAGGCAAGATGGTTGCCTTTATTATACTAAGTTTTATCTTGTGTGGGAGGACCTGTGTAAGCAGGATGACTTTCACCCACCAGAAACATTACACAAAGCAGATAACAGTAGTTCAATAACCCCAACAGCACTCACAAAACCAAAGAATGAGTTTGAAATGAGTCCAGAACCTTCAGAGCACTCGGAAAATTTAATAACTATTTTACTATAGAAGTAGCTGGCCCCTTTCTGAATTTCCATATGACAGTAAAAAGAAGTAAAGGACCTTTTTCCACACCTTCAAACATTCTGGGCATATATGACTAAAGCTATCTTTTTTTAGACCAATCGGCACTCAGTGGGTGATGGGGTCAACATTACGCTGGCCACCTTTACTTCCCAGACCTATACCTAGTACTCACTCAAAGCTGTGTTAACCTGCGAGTCACGGTCATTTTGAAAAAAAAAAAAAAAAAATCCAGTCTTTCTTTCCATAGTTTTTCCATTTTACTGTAGAGAGACGTGATAATTATAGTACATGATGATGGTGAGTGTGACCAGCACACCCAGCTCATGTTAAGAAGAATCTTGGGTACAACTCACAAATTCAGGCCCAGAAAGAGAGTGACTTCCCTTGCCATTCATCCCTGGTCGTGTCGTAAGGCCTGTCCTATGTTACGGGGGTGTCATGCTTAATGAGCAACAGGCAACACAACAAATTTTTGCTATGTTGTCCCCTGCCGGCGATATCATGTGGTCTATACTCCACGATGTGAGTGAGTGCTTATAATGATCCTAAAACATGTAGAATTGACCCTAACCAAACCCCCCTGCACCACAGCCTCAGCCTAGGTCCCACGAAAAAGTGCAACCCATGTCCCATGACTGCATGCAGCCTACAATGACCACGCATAAAATACCTTGTTTTGCTGGACGCTCACTAAGCGTGACACCCCTGCAACATAGGAGAGGGCCCTATTACACGACCAAGAATGAATGGCAAGAGAAGTCACTCTCTTTCTGGGCCCGACTTCACGAGTTGTTCCAAATCTTTTACAATAAGTGCAAGACAATAGTTGTCATCAAAAGTATCTGACATGTTTTTTCTAGGATGCTCAGCTTTTAACTATTTCAGTCCCAGGGGGCTTATCATCGGAGGCCCAAGGGGTAGTAAAGAGAGATGTAAAATCAGCACATCTTGCATTTATTGGGTTTCTAGGTAGGAACCTGTGAACGTAGGATGTGTTTCTTGGGACTGAATGTGACTTATTCTAAAGCCCCACTCTGGCTTTTGTTGGGTTCCCTAAATATAGCTGGGCCTTAAATGTGGTCTAACAGCAGAACGGGGTTTCCGGGACTTCTCCACAGGTGATACTCATCCAAATGGTGGCACTTTATGTCATCACTTGTGTGATGTCATGGTAGGGTACAAACTTACCTAATATGGGGACTGATAGAATTAACTTGTTGCCAACATTTTTCTTCGACCTTATTCCCTTTATAGTCCCCTCCATGCAGTGTAATCTATTGCATCCTATGAAGCCACCTTAGTACCTGTATCCTTCATGTACCACTTGTGTACATAGTGGAATCATAATGTTATAAAAATTAAACGCTGATTAAGGGAAAAAAATTTTTTATTTGTGTGTTGTAAATTCAAACCACACAGTGCAACAAAATAACCAACAAATTAGAAAAACTCTTAGATGTACCTACTGGGGTTCTGGGGCCCCATTTTGGAAAGGAAAGAATAAACCCACGGCCTCTAAACAATCATGTCATAAAAAGAGACTAATTAGGGATTTTTTTTCCTTTAAAGTAAGAGTACATATGCCTGAGAGATGAGGAACCAACAGTTTGCACTAAAAGAAAACAAAAAAGCCAGATCTGTAAAGAAATGCATGCAAAACTCAAGTTCTTGAACAGAACCACAGCTCAGAGGTGGATGAACACCCTGAACTTTCTGCCAGAGTTTACAGCTGGTGAACGCAAAGAAGAAGACACAATTTAAATGTAAGACGTTTGTAGTTATTGGAATAAATGTGTGCTTTTTAACAGTGTGATATTTCTGCTACATTCTATTCAGTGAGGTGAGAAACATGGGAGGCATTGAAACCCTTATCTCGAGTCTCCATGAAGTTAGGGAAGAAATTGTGGCCAGTGCAGCTTGTGCTTTGACGAATTTAGCTCAGGATGAGACACTTCGCTCTGAGGCACTTGCTCAGGGTGTTGTAACAGCTCTTATAGAACCTCTACAATCACAGTAAGTCCTTCCTGTAACAACTCTCATAGAACCTCTACAGTCAAAAGTCCTTCCTGTAACAGCTCTCGTAAAACCTCTGTAGTGACAGTAAGTCCTTTCTACAGTGACACTAACTCCTTTCTGTAACAGCACTTATACAACCTCTACAGTCACAGCCTCTACAGTCACAGTAAGTCCTTTCTGTAACAGCTCTCATAGAACCTCTACAGTCAAAGTCCTTCCTGTAACAGCTCTCATAGAACCTCTACAGTCAAAGTCCTTCCTGTAACAGCACTCATAGAACCTCTGTAGTGACAGTAAGTCCTTTCTGTAACAGCACTCACAGAACCTCTACAGTGACACTAACTCCTTTCTGTAACAGCACTTATACAACCTCTACAGTCACAGCCTCTACAGTCACAGTAAGTCCTTTCTGTAACAGCTCTCATAGAACCTCTACAGTCAAAGTCCTTCCTGTAACAGCTCTCATAGAACCTCTACAGTCAAAGTCCTTCCTGTAACAGCACTCATAGAACCTCTGTAGTGACAGTAAGTCCTTTCTGTAACAGCACTCACAGAACCTCTACAGTGACACTAACTCCTTTCTGTAACAGCACTTATACAACCTCTACAGTCACAGCCTCTACAGTCACAGTAAGTCCTTTCTGTAACAGCTCTCATAGAACCTCTACAGTCAAAGTCCTTCCTGTAACAGCTCTCATAGAACCTCTACAGTCAAAGTCCTTCCTGTAACAGCACTCATAGAACCTCTGTAGTGACAGTAAGTCCTTTCTGTAACAGCACTCACAGAACCTCTACAGTCATAGTGAGTCCTTTCTGTTACAGCAAGCATAGAACCGCAACGGTCACAGTATGTCATTTCTGTTGAAGCACATAGAACCTCTATGGTCCTAGTAAGTCCTTCCAGTTTCAGCAATCATAGAACCTCTATGGTCCTAGTAAGTCCTTCCAGTTTCAGCAATCATAGAACCTCAACAGTCAGAATAAATCCTTTCTGTAACAGAATTTATAGAAATTCTCCCATCACAATAAATCCTTTTTGCAACAGCTCTCATAGAACCGTTACAGTCAGAGTAAGTCCCTCCTGTTACATAACTCATAGAACCTCTACTGTCACAGTAAGTTCTTTCTATAACAGCACTTATAGAACCTCTACAGTCACAGTAAGTCCTTTCTATTACAGCATTCAGAAAAGCTCTACAGTTGCAGTAAATAAATATTTTCTGTAAAAGCTCTCATAGAATATCTATAGTCATAATAAGTCCTTTCTGTAACAGAACTCAAAGCAGTCATAGTAAGTCTTTTCTGTAACAGCACTCATAGAACATCTACTGTCATAATGTGTCCTTTCTGTAACAGCACTCATAGAACATCTACTGTCATAATGAGTCCTTTCTGTAACATCACTCATGGAACCTCTACGATCACAGGAAGTCCTTTCTGTAACATCACTCATGGAACCTCTACGGTCACAGGAAGTCCTTTCTGTAACATCACTCATGGAACCTCTACAGCCAGAGTTTCACTTTTTTATTTTAACACTTTCTGTCTGAAAATTTGAGAACTTCACAGAAATAACCTTTGAGTCTGAATAAGTAAAAAATACTACTACTATAAGACAGAATGGAGAGTCAGAAACAACAACAAAATGCACAATCTGCTTAACCCTTTTACACTGTGAATGCTAAATTAAAAAAATATATATATATATTAAAAAAATTGTTCATTAACCTGTGGAAATTCCTAAGTAAAAATCCTTTAAAAAAAAAGTTTTACATAGGCGTTAGAATTAGTTTGAGTAACAGCTAGGATATAATGATTTAATGTAAGATAGGAAGAGAACAAATAAAATTAATAGATGCATAAAACATGAATGGAAACTAATAAATGTGTAGTAATTTGCTTGGTAATGAAAGTCATGAGCAATATCTAGTCATTCCTTTGTGGGATGCAATTTTTCGTTATTTGAAGCCCCACCCTGGTTTTTTGCTGGGCACCCTGAATACAGCTGGGCCACAACTGTTGCTATAACGGCTGAAAGGGGTTTCTGGGACCTCTCCACGGGTGATCCTCATCCGCATGGTGGCACTTTGTGTCACCGGGTGTTTATCACTCGTGTGATGTCCTAGTGGGGTAGAACAAGCAAGCAGCAGTAATGACAGAGTTAAAGTGGAAAGTAAAGTAAAGCGCCCTTTCTCAAGCCAGTTATGCATCTGGCATATGATGCTAGACTCAGGTGAAAAGTGAATTAGAACATCAAGGAAGATTGACTAGTAAACAGCAACTTGTCTTGGAAACTTTAATACCACCACCACAAAATGGGAAGAATATATAAGAAAGAAAACTTGTGGATTTCAAGTTGTATGTTAGACATAGCCAATGAAGACACCAGTTTTGGGTGCCCAGTTGGTCATGTATCATGGTACACTTGTTTCCATAGCAAGGCGCACAGGCCATTTGAAGGTGACAGGTTCTAGCTTTTGATTTTTATGTTTTCTAATGTGTCCTTTTATCTTTCTTATGATTGCTAATTAATACATTGTCTGTTATTTATTAAATATAATATTACTGTTACTACTACTATTCTTTTTCTTCTGCCTTTCTATCCCCCAATGGAGCATAGGCCCTCAACCAACTCACGCCAAGTCGTTCTATCCTTCGCCATTGCATGGAGCTCTCCCCATGTCCTCCCAATCTTTCTAACCTCGTTCTCCAGCTCTCTTCTCCATGTGTTTTTTGGCCTTCCTTTATTCCTATGCCCCTGTGGGTTCCAATGCAAAGACATTCTAGTAATGCTGTTCTCCTGTTTTCTCAGTGTGTGCCCTATCCAACGCCAGCGTCTTTTCCTCACTTCCTGATCCACTGGAACCTGTTTAGTTCTCTCCCAAAGTTCTACATTAGTTATTCTATCATACCATTTTATTCCCTCTATTCTGCGCAGGCACCAGTTAATGAATGTCTGTAATTTATTAGTAATTGCCTTGGTTTTTCTCCATGTTTCCGCCCCATACAATAGTACTGATTTGACATTAGAATTAAACATTTTTAGTTTAGTATTTCTTTTAATTTCTTTTGACCTCCACAAATTCCCTAGTGCTATGAAAGCCCCTCTTGCCTTTTGTATTCTTATTTTAATATCTCTATCAGTTCCTCCATCTTTATCTACATAACTGCCTAAATAGGTGTACGACTCCACGTCTTGGAGTGGGGTGCCATTAAGAGAAACCACATTACTATTTGCCTGATTTATTCTCATTATCTTTGTCTTTCCTTTATGGATTTTCAGACCAAGCTGCTGTGATCTCGCATTAAGTATATTTAATTTATCTTGCATCTGATTCCGTGAATGGGACAGAAGAGCAATATCACCAGCGAAGTCCAGATCATCAAGCTGTTTTGTAGGGGTCCACTGAATTCCATTCTTGGGGTTAGCAGTTACTGTTTTCATAGTCCAGCCTATAGCCAGTAAAAATAAGAGAGGCGACAAAAGACATCCCTGTCGCACACATGTTTTTATTTCAAATGCATCTGTTAGCTTTCCCTCATGAAGAACTCGACATTTCACGTCTTTATATGTTGCCTTTACTAAGTTGATAATTTTCTGTGGGATTTCATAGTGCCCCATCAATTTCCAGAGAGATTTCCTATCTATGCTGTCAAATGCTTTTTCATAGTCTATAAATCCAATGTAAAGTGGTGAGTTCAGTTCAATGCTTTGCTCTATTATAATACGTAATGTGGCTATCTGATCAGTACAGGATCTGTTTGACCGAAAACCTGCCTGCTCATCTCTCAGCATTTTATCAATAGCATCTTTTAATCTTTCCAAAATAATTCTACTTAATATTTTTCCAGGAACTGACAGCAACATAATTCATCTATAGTTTTCACACTCCTGTCGATCACCTTTTTTGGGCAGTTTCACAAGATATCCTTCTCTCCAGTCTGCTGGTATTTCTGTCTCCCAGACTTTACTGAATAATCTATGTAGCAATTCTGTTGATGTGTTTATGTTGGTCCTGATGGCTTCAGCTGGGATACCATCTGGGCCTGTCGCCTTTCCTTCCTTGAGAAGATTTATAGCTGTTCTAATTTCCTCTTTGGATGGTATCTCACAGTTTATATCCAGTTCTATTTCTAAAGGCTGGATATCTGGGGGAACCTCTGGGCCTGGTCTATTTAGAAGCATTTCAAAATATTCAACCCATCTGTCCATTTGATCTTTAGTGTTAGTAAGTACCTTTCCTTGACTATTTTTGATTGATCCAGTTGGCTGACTATATTTACCTACTAATTTTCTTGTGTTACTGTAAAGTTCTCTGAGGTTTCCTTTTGCTGCTGCTGTCTCTGCTTCTTGTGCTAGATCATTTAGATATTTCACTTTATCTGCCCTTATATGCCTCCTAACTTCCTTGTTGGCTTCTGTGTATTTTTCCTGAGCTCTAGCTTTAGCAGCTCTAGTTTTGCTATTGTTTAATTCTGCCTATTTACTTTTCCTATCTTCAATCAGTTTAATGGTTTCTGGTGTTATCCATGCTTTATGTTTCCTTTCTTTCTTGCCAAGAACTTCTACGCAAGATTCATTCCAGATTCCTTTGATCTGATCCCAGCAGACTTCTGTGTTGACATCTTCAGCTAACTGCTGCAACACCTGGTACTTATTAGAGACCGTAACTGAGAACTGTTCCTTAATTTCTTTATCTCTGAGAAAGCCTACATTATATTGGTTTCTATGATTATAAGATGTGATATATCTTTTTAGTTTCAACTTGATTTTACTTACCACCAGGAAATGGTCAGTAAATACATCGGCACCTCTGAAAGCCCTAACATCGTAAAGGGATGATCTAAACTTTTTGTTAATACATATGTGGTCAATTTGATTAGTTGTCTTATGGTCTGGTGATTCCCATGTTGCCTTGTGTATACTTTTATGGGGAAAAATACTTCCACCAATAACATACTGGTTACCTGCACAAAAATTTGTGAACAATTCTCCATTTTCATTCATTACTCCTAGACCATGTCTCCCCATAATTTCTTCATAACCTGTGTTGTCTGATCCTATCTTAGCATTCAAGTCACCCATCAAAATTTTTAAGTTGCCCTTTCTTTCATTATTTATAATAATTTGAAGCTGCATGTAAAATTCTTCCTTAACAGATGCATCTTTATCATTTGTTGGTGCATAACACTGTATTACCGACATGTTCACCTTCTGTTTTACTGTTCTAAAAGATGCTCTTATTATTCTGGGACACAGCTTCCCATTCTATTAGTGCCCTGTCTACTTCTTTTGATAGCATCAGGGCCACTCCTTCACTGTGCGGCAAATTTTCCTCTGTGTGTCCTGAGAACAAAATAGTTTCTCCTGAATTTACAATACTTTTCCCTGCCCCAGTCCATCTAGTTTCACATAACCCCAAAATACTAATTCTATAATGTTTCATTTTCTTTGCTACTTCCATTGTTCTCCCTATATCATAGAGAGTTCTAACATTCCAGGTGCCAATTCTGGAGGTTTTCCTAGCTGAGAGGAGGTATGTCAACGATCCGGACTCCTTACGGCTTTCTCCACACCGTGTCATACTTCTTCTATTTGAAGAGCCTCCCCTCATCTTGGTTGGCTGGATTTTATTTGCTTCTCTTTTTTACTTATCCATGGTTGGTTGGTTTTTGTGGCTATGGTTTTTACAGGATGAGGTAGCCAACCTCAAGCCCAACCCTACCCTTAGTCGCCTCTTACGACATGCCTGGTAGGGTGCAATGTCACTATTCTTTGCTTCCCGTGGCACACGGGCGACTACTACTATTATTGTCACTATTATTCTGCTGCTACCTTTCTTTCATCTTTATTTTTTTCACCAATTTACATAATCTGAATCTGTAAATCTCTAAAAATCTCTGTAATGTCACAGCAGAGGTATTATCACGGCTCAAATGAAAGAATTAACCACAAAGTATAAAACCTGCAAAGAGATGACCAGCATTGACTGACTGTTTATGTGTTCTTATTTTCTCATTCAAGTAATGCCAATGTGCAGAGCAAGGCAGCCTTGGCAGTGTCTGCATTTACATGTGATGCTGTGTCAAGGAAAGAAGTAAGTCTCAGAGATATTCATGTCTTTTCATTTAAAAAAAAATAAGAACTCACTGTTTGAATTCTGTTTTCTCATAAGCAGACATTGTGTATTTACATTTTTATAAACTTATTTTCTTCCAGGATTGTAGTCTGTATGATAAATATCTCAGTCTGTATGATAAACATCTCACTCTGTATGATAAACATCTCAGTCTGTATGATAAACATTTCAGTCTGTATGATAAACATCTCAATCGGTATGATAAACATCTCAATTGGTATGATAAACATCTTAATTGGTATGATAAACATCTCAGTCCGAATGATGAACATCTCAATCAGTATGATAAACATCCTAATCTGTATGATGAACATCTCAATCTGCATGATAAATATCCCAATCTGTATGATAAACATCTCAGTCTGTATGATAAACATCTTAAGGATGAGAATCAAACAGGTACAAATCCACACAAAAACCATTCAACCATATAGCCATATAGTACAGTTACAATGGGGCATCACAAACTGGTTCCGAAATAAGCTTTAGTCTAGTGTGGGCGGGTTTTGGAGTTGTGTATATAAAGTGTATTTATACCTGGACAGTGAAAACAAGTTAGTTGTGCATCCTTTACAGGACGTTGCAAAACCAGTTTTTCTAGGCCGATTTACGTCCAGTAGTTTGCCATTGCTTTCTGGACGGTCGGCTTTCTTAATACCACTGTCGAAACTTAACGCAAGGCACATGGCCAGCAGCTGGGATCCAACCCGGCATTGCAAAGCCATCACATCGACTTAGCCCCAGAGCCGACGCAGAGTGAAAAAGCAACTACAGAATCAAATTGAGTCTCTGGGTAAACAGAATAGGTTGTATTTCCTGGAACAAAATTAGTCCAATGCAGAGGTTCTGGAAAGGCTGCAAATGAGAAGAGAATTACTGAAAGAAATAAAAAAGAAACACTTGAAATTCTTTGGCCACATTAAAAGACATAACACACTTTTAAAAACCATACTGGAGGGAAAGGTCGAAGGAAAGAGAGCAAGAAGTAGGCAATGATACAAGTGGGAGGACAACATTAAGAGAGGGATGGCAGCAGTTGGAGAGAGTGTACAGCCAGGACAAGAGACAGAGCATGTTGGAGATCTATTGCAGCCAAACTTCATGTGGCGACAGCACCTGATTGATGAAAAACAAGAAAATCAAACTCATTACATCAGGTTAAATTGTATATGTCTCAGCTCTCTTTGTAGATCAGCTCGTTGCCAGGGAAGGTATTGCACAACGTATGAACTCCATAGCACCAGTAATGAGACCCACTACCCCTAACAAGCACATCGTAAGAGTAAACTAATTAGAGATGTTTCCTTTAAAGTCAGTGTAGATCTGGCTGAGCAGCAAGGAACCAGCAGTCTGCATACAGATAAGCCAGATCACTAAAACATATGCCTGCAAAACTCAAGTTCTGGGTCCAGTAGCGGGCAAACAAACAAGAACTTGCCATGAGAGTTTACAGCTGTTGAACGCTAAGAAGAAGAGAGCTGAAGAACTCACAACTTTCAGTGCACAAGGCTTAACCAATTTGCTATGAAGATCCCTCACTGTTTGCATGACCTGGCAAAGATATTTAATGCACAGCTACGACAGATGTGATGTGCATCATGAGGGACTCCTTTAACTCTTTCAGTTGTAAGCAGATTTACTTTAACTGCTGATATCTTGAAAACTTGAGCTTACAAACAATAAATACTAAGGTTTGAAGGAGTTCAACAGTGACACTTCAGAACAGAAATGGTTATACTATTAATTTGGATATAAAGAGTTAAAATAACATCAGTCTGTGATTGCAGACAGGGGGAATATGATATATCTTTGGAAACACCAAGAAACCTGAGATAGATTTGGTTGTTTGGTATTGAAAGAATTAATAATGCTTTGATGTAGTTTGTAAAGGATATTATTTTGTTAAAAAATGGCTTTGTCATTGTGACGTCATAATGAGGTCACTTTTCTCCACATGGCTGTTACAATAAAACTAATTTTTTCACAGTCAAAGAGAGGAAAAGCAGTTAATTCTTTGTTCCATTTGTATTTTTTATTACTTCCCTTAACCATAAAATTATTGTACTGAGTTTGTGATTTCACTAAGGATTTTTTATCTTTATTTATACATTAAAAAAAAAAAAAGTGACGTGGGGCCGCGTTAGGGCAGTCGATAGGAGACTTACTTTCAAATCCAGCTGCGACTCACTGCAGCCCACGAACAGTGTTCAAAACCGAGCAGTTTCCCGGGTTTACCGAGCCTCTAGGTAATGGATACCAGAGTTAACACTCTGGGGTAAATAGAGTAATGTCGCTGTAGCTGCAGAGTTACGTGCGGACGGCGACACAGGCGGACAGTTTCTTATCAGCTGTCCGTACTATTGGTAGAGCATTTATGGTTTGATTTATAACTATGTGCAATGACGCTTGTTCATATCTCCTGACTTATTTCTATTTTTTATTTTATTTTTTTATTTAAAGCCCCAGGTTTTTATGAAAACTGACCAAGACTGACTAGATTTGTTCTGCTTCGTCTTCTCTCCCTCAAGTTCCTTAAGTTAGAATTTCAGAGATTTATAGGCATGCTTCTCTTTTTTAATATGTGGAGAAAGGCTATTTTTAAAGATTCATATGTGATGAAAAGATTAAAGTCTATCGTATGTTAGTGGGGATATATATTTTTTTTTAACTTTTCCTAGCTCAGGGAGTCTGGAGGCCTGGAACCTCTAGTTCTGCTGCTGCATTCTGGAAGTGATGAAGTTCGAAGGAATGCAGCCTGGGCAATCACTGTTTGTGCAGTAGATGAACCCACGGCAATGGAAATCTGCAAGCTGGGGTAAGAATTGTTGTAAACTGTACATTTTGTTAATCAGTAATAATGGCACCTTATCCATTAGGATAGCAGTTTGCGATGGAAGATTTTTTTTTTTTTTTTTTTTTTTTTTTTTTTTTTTTTTTTTTTTTTTTTTTTTTTTTTTTTCTTTTTTTTTTTTTTTTTTTTTTTTTTTTTTGTTTTTTTTTTTTTTTTTTTTTTTTTTTGTTTTTTTTTTTTTTTTTTTTGTTCTTTTTTTTTTTTTTTGTTTTTTTTTTTTTTGTTTTTTTTCTTTTTTTTTTTTTTTTTTTTTTTTTTTTTTTTTCCCTTTTTTTTTTTTTTTTTTTTTTTTTTTACTAAAAGATCTTCATAGTCCATGTTTATCCTCCTGGCTACTATCTGAAGGGTTTATCACCCTGAAGACTTTGAGAATTCTGTTTTGGATGCAAACTTCCCCCTATGAGTTTCAGAGTTCCCATTGTGGGAAAGAAAAAGAATAGACATACTGCCCCTCCTCCCCCCAAACAAGTATATTAACAGAGTAATTGGGGATGTTTACTCATAAGTTAGAGTGCATCTGCCCGATAGGCAAGGAACCAGCAGTTTTCATTCAAATAAGCCAGATCTGTAAAATGGATGTGCATGCAAAACTCAGGTTCTGCAACAAGACCAAAGTCCTATAGTGGATGAAATGACCATAACTTTTTGCCAGAGTTTCCAGCCGATGAATGTGATGATGAGGAAGAGGAGAAGGGAAAAAAAAGAAGAAGATGAAGAAGAAGGAGAAGCAACAGCAGCAGCAGCAGTAGTAAAAGAAGAAGAAGAAAAAGAATGCACACTAATAAAATATATGTCAGATAGCTTGTTTCACTATGTGGGTCCAGGGCTTCTATTTGAGGGGGAAAGAGAATGGAGCTGCTGCCTCCTAACAAGCATGTGGTAAAAGTTGACTAATTCGGTGTTTGCAGAAGTCATGTCCTAACAAGCATGTTGTAAAAGTTGACTAATTCGGTGTTTGCAGAAGTCATGTCCTAACAAGCATGTTGTAAAAGTTGACTAATTCGGTGTTTGCAGAAGTCATGTCCTAACAAGCATGTTGTAAAAGTTGACTAATTCGGTGTTTGCAAAAGTCGGATGTGTTTGGCTAAAGAGCACAATTATCATATTCTAGCTTTAAACATCCCAACCATCTTTTTAAGGGTGAAAGGAGAAGAAGAAGTAGAAGATACCTTTTTTTCAGCCTCTAAAGAAGTTAACCAGAAGTTGAAAGCAATTAGTGACATATCATAGAAGTATTGAGTCAGGGTCAGTGAACACAATTTAGTAAATTCCACATGAAGTGCTGAATCAGGAATCATTCTAAATTTTTATTTGTAAAAGGGTTTCTGAGTGTTAATATGCATTGTAAAATGGTTATAAACAATATCAGAAAGTGAAATCTATAATTTTATATTTAATTGTCTTTAAAGTTATCAATGAATAATTTAAAATAGTTATTTTGTTTTAAGTCAAATAGGTTTTTGAAGTTTAAACAACGAATCAACATCATAGCACCCATAAGTGCTCCGTTCTACTTCTAACTCAAGTCTTAGTCCGAAGTAGCTGAAAGAAAATTGTTTTAATGCAGTTTATAAAGAAAGTGATACACATGAGCAGCTGGTACATTGGTACATGTTGTTATTCATCAGTTCTCGTTATGCCTAGTGACACATGAGGCTTCAGAGAGGACTTTCAATGCTTTCCTATCCTGTGCAATCGTCAGTGCAGTTTTCCATGTCAAAGATGCAGCACTCAAGTCACTTTCCATCGTTCGTCTCCATGTTGTTTTTGGTCACCCCTTCTTTCTCTTTCCCTCTGGTGTCCATCTGCGAGCTGTTTTGGCAGGTATATCAGGAATCATTTTCATAATGTGCCCAAGCCATTTCCATCTTCTCTTGGTTATCATACTGTCTAGAGTTTCTTGGTCTGAGACTTGATGTAGTTTAGTATTTGAGATTGTGTCTGGCCAGAAAATTTTCATAATTCTGCATAGACCAGTGTGGTGGAGGGTGGACAGCTTGTGTGCATGTTTTTTGGTCATTTCCAGCATTCTGCTTCATAAAGAAAAACTGGCAAAATGATATCTTGTAGAGCTGGAGTTTCGTTCCTCTGCAGTAACTGTTCGACTTCCAGATTTGCCTAATCCTTCCAAAAGCAGCTCTAGCTTTGTTTAAGCGTGGTTGTATGTCTTCCTCTGTCCCTCCCAGTAGGGACACCACACTGCCAAGATATGTGGACTGTTCTACATTTTCAAGTGATTGGTTACTTATAGTCACTGGTTTTTATCTGTTAAGAAAAATGTCAACATTCCTTTCCAGTCCTTCGGTTCGGAAAATCTATCATTTACATTTACAAGATGTTTAAAATCATAGCATGTTTACTGTCTGTTTATGATTATGTTCCAATTTTTAAAATTTATCAACCAAAAGCAGTCTGCTGCCAAAGTGTTTCCAGCTGAATCAAACTAGTTTGTCATAATTGGGAAACTGTGTTCATAATCTCTAAGTCGCAGACACTCCCCATGTGGGTTCTAGGACTCCATTTTGGAGAACCAAGAATAGATCCATGAAGCTACACCCACCCACCCCTTCCTCCAGCCACCCCTTTTCTTTTTTCCCTAACAAGTATATCATAGGAGGCAACTAATTGGGAGTGTTTGCTTTAAAGTCAGAGTGCTAAAAATCAGTCAGTTTGTCCTCTCTGGACAGCTACCTAAAAGTTTACCATCCTGAGATTTAAAAAACTCAGTGTGGATGGTAGACTAACAAGACAGATCCTAGAAACCCCGTTCAACCTCAAAAGTTACAGTCAGGGCATCCATAACAGCTACACTATCCAGGTGTCACCTGCAGTCCTGTGAGGGTAACAATGACTTAAGTCTGAGTGTGTCTACCCAAGAGGCAAGGAACCAATAGTCTGGAGACAAATAAGCCAGATCTGTAAAATGGATGTGCATGCAAAACTAAAGTTTTGGACCAAGACCTAAGTCCAGCAGTGGGTGAACAGTCAGAACTTTCCAGCCAAGTTTACAACCAGTGAGAAGAAATAAACGAAGAAGAAGCCACAGACACTGACTGAAAAAAAATGTTTTTGTTCTTCTTCTTCACTTACTCTTTTACCACTTCCAAGTCCAAGTCCTTTTGAGAAAAAAAATGAAAAGCTCGACCACGTTCTGCCTTTACCACTTCAGGTGACAAGGGAGATATAAAGTCGTGCTTCATACTCTTCTGGCTGTTTCGACTATAGACTCATCGTGGTGCTGTAGAGTTTCTCTGATGTTATCTTTCCATCCCATTCTTGGTCTATCTCTTCTTCTACATCCCTCTCCTCCCTTTTTTTAGTAAATGCCTTGTATGTCCACAAATAAGGCAGTAAAATCCTTCCTTTTTGAGAAAATTATCTATCTTCAAACAGGTAAGAGAATAACTTCCCCTTTTCCTTTTACAGAGGTCTGAGTATTCTACAAGAGATCCAGACATCATCATCTAGAAACAGTCCCTTCACAGAAGCTGCTCTGCAGAGACTTCTAGACAGTAACTTGTCTGCCAAATTTTCACTTTACAATTATTTAGGTACTTCATAATTTGCAGTTACTTATGTTATATTATACTTTAAATATGGCGTCTGGCTCGCTAGCATAGTTGGTTAAACCGACTTTGCGGCGACCGGGTAACGAACTCTTTATGGTCCGGGTTTACGACGGGGAGGGGGGGGGGGGGCTATTTTTCGGGAATTTCCTAACCTGAGGCTATACCGCTGGCCCAATTTTTTGGGAAGTGGTGTAGTACGTGAAAAATATGCATCACAGACTAAAAATAACCAGCCAATCGCTATCAGACTTCGTGGTTAGTCATTGTGAATGACTTCCCACGTATGTTGAGATTTCTTTGTGTGATTTAATTTGAAAAAAATGTGGAAAATTCTCAATGAAACGAGCAGCTTCGACAAGAAAGTCACGTAGATCTAGGCTTTTCACAGTCCAACGGGTGATCGATACTTTGGTTCATTCAGACTGTGAATACGTTCATGAAGAATGTGTTCCCAGTTGAAGTGACACAGTCAGTGAGAGCTAGAGTGAGGAGGAGAATTATGAAAATTATAGATTTAAAACTAGATCGATAGTAAGAGAAGGGTGAGTGTCCCTCAAACAGCAACATCTGGTGCTCACATTTTGAAACAAGACTGATCCTGCTGGGTGGATTGGCACTCAAAGGTAGAATACTGGCGCTAGATGAAAGGTAAACATATTTTCAACAATGTCTCCAAGTTTTATCTTATTCTAACGACTTGTTTGTATTTAACTAATATTTGTGTACATCATGTTAGTTTTTTTGTGTTAATGCCCAGGAGCTCAGGTATAGGGGAGAGTTAGGTTCAGGGCCTCAGGTCTTATAGGGTTAAAAAGTTTTTAAAAAAATAAATTTGTACGTTATATTTTTTTTGTCATGCAGTTTGTGTTGGCAACCTACACTGGCATTTGTCATAAAATTGTGTTTGATAATATCTCTGCAGCTTCAATTCCCATCTCAGTGCAGGGTGCAATTTGTCATTAGTTTAAAGCCCCACCCCAGCTGTAGTTGGAGGCCCCAAGTATAACCTATGGGTTGAACGGAGCTTCTGGGACATCTACCAGGGTGATTTGCATCTGAATGGTGGCACTTTGTGTCACCAGATATTTGTCGCTAGTCTTGCAGTCCTGGTAGGGTTGAACATCAGTCAGTCAGTCTGCAGCTATATTACAGAGATTTAGAGGTTATGAAAGCTGGGGGAAAAAAACAGAGAGGAAGAAACATTTATAGCAGAAAATAGTGGAAACAGCAGCAGCAGTAGAAGCACCACCACCAGCAGCAGCAACAGCAGCAGAAGCACCACCAGCAGCAACAGCAGCAGCAGTAGTAGCAGTGAGAGTGGGAAGCAAAAATGAAATTCATAATCTATTTAAGTCACTACTATTTAATGAAATCAAGAGGATTAATAGACTGTAATGGTTGGGACATATAGAGAGAATGGCAGATAACAGAAAGATAAAAACTGTACACACAAGAGCTGAATGGAACAAGACCATGAGGCAGATCAAGAAAATAGTAAGAAATAATATACAGGCAGACCTACATATCCTGGGAGTCACCAGCTGGTAAGAGAAGGTCAGTCACATAAATGAGGGAAGATGGGTGATATCTGCAGCGATTGATATCAAAGGCTCTAGTTGCTGAAAAGAAGTGGTGATGGTGGTGCTAATAGAAGGAGGAGGAAAAAAAAGAATGAAGAGTGATCGAGAGGAGAGAAAAGAAAGAAAGAGAGAAAGAAAGAAAGAGATGGAAAGGAAGAAAAAAAGACCAAAAGAAGAAGCAAATTAGGAAGAGAAGCCATATATAGATTGTGCTGAATGACATGTAAATATAATAATATACTTAAAAACCTCTAAATGTAAAAGCACTTACTTTTAAAGAAAGAAGGTGAAAAAGTATGAAATACATTAGTAATTACTTGTAATGAAAATGTAAATGCATAGTTACAGGGGTCTCTTATTCTTCTTACAAAATTATTTGGCCATCAGGGAGCTCAGCCACCCCCTTAAAAGTTTGGCGCCTATGTGAAAAGAGTCCTACATTCCCCCCATCAACCCAGACAATAATTCTAACATTAACCCCTATCACTTTCCTTACGAGGCAAAAGCAGTTTTTTCCCCCTGATAACAGATAATCAAAGCACTGGTTACTGTTGTTACGAGATAGGGCACGGACTTGTTTGGATAATCAAAGTAAGCTGGTAGTGCTTCATGTGAAGTTGCTGGAATGTCGTCTTAAAAAGGGCGCCTCTAACAAAGAGCTTAAGCTAAGATTGGGCGAGCTTAGCCCCCTCTAACAAAAGCTGGGGTTGGGGAGCTCTAGAGACCTGAGCCCCAAAGTTCTGGCTCCTGTGCTGTAGGCTGTGATTGCCATGCCTTCATTAGCACAGTGTGACACTATCATCTAAAAAGATGGAAGAATGCTGAGAACGCTGTCAGTAAATACATAGAAATGTTATACATGAATAAATAATTATCAAGATGGGAGTCACAGTAGCCGAGCGGCTAGACGCTCACCGCCGATTGGCAGGTTGTAGGTTTGCTTCCTGGCAGAGTCGGACTTTTTTCAAAAATGACTTTGGTTCCCAGGTCGACCCATCCTTGAGGGGGTACCTGGTGCAGTCCCCGGAAAGTATAGGTAGCCGGCGTGATCCTGACCACACCACCCATCTTGTGCCGATTGGTCTATAAAAATATAGGTCTAGCCCTATATGCCCTATACCCCTAATAGCGTGGAAAGGGTCCTTTGCTTACTTACTTTTTTACTTATCAAGATTGCAGATGTGTTATAGGGGTGAACTGAGTGGTCATTAAATTGTTGAAGTGACTGGCCACTGTTTTGATTTCAGGACCCAGCAATCTGATAGAAGATGGATTCTTTGACTGTGGGAAGCTAAAACAAGGGACAGCATTCAAAACACTGGAAGAGTACTGTGCCCAGGAGATGAATGATAAGAGGCCTATTATTCTTGTGAATGCTCAAGCTGGAGAGGAGTAAGAATACCTGATGATTTATGTTGTTTCCCCTACGTGAAATGTTTGTGCCATGCATGGTGCATTATTTAAGACTAATGTTGAATGTAAAATTAAGAATCGACCTCACAGCACTCGGGACACTCCCATAAATGCTTAATCCCCATCTTCAGCAGCAAGTGAAGAGTTCCAATTCCAATTTTACCAGTAACTGTCTGATTGTATATCCGTCTCATCCTTCACCTGAGTGTAGAGCGTCATTCAGATCGCCTGGTAACTCCTCGCAGAGCCATTCTCCTTAGACCGTAATGATCTGTCTGCGCCTCCGCACTGTTTACTCACTCGCAAAAAGGTCCTCTGCCAGTCTGTCTGTATTTGGGACTAAAAGAGTTAAAATGGTGGTTGACACATCGATGATTTACAAATATTTTTTTTTCTCAGCTTTCTTAAATTCATTTTATTTTTATTTTTATCAGTTCAATGAACACCCCCCCCCCCCCCCCCCCCCCCCCCCCCCCCCCGCAATAAATTGTCAGTACTACCTATATTTACCACTTTTACAGTGTTGACCTGGAAGGGGGGGGGGGATGGAGGGCTTTGAACCTGATGATGCAGGGTCACATGGCTACTCCTGTTGCCTTGGACTGTGCAGATACAGATTTTCGTTTTGCCCTTGAACCTTATGGAGGATTCAAAACCTGGGGATCCAACTTTAAAGCCAAGCTTTCTAACCATTTAGCAAGCCACTCCTCCTTGGATATTTGTTTTCTTTGCATTTAACTTTCTAAATAACGGTTGTAATAGCTTCAAATTTATTTCGACACGAGCTTTATAAAAGACAGATTTCCTTAGTGTGAATGCTTAAAGCTGAGTAACGCATATTTGAAATTATCTATTCATATTTTTCCTTACATGCTGCTCTGTTTTCAGTTTAACTATTTTTCTAAACTAGTTTTATCTGCCTTGTAATTCCTGATTTATTCCCATGACAGGACAGAGAGCATCCATGAGATCAGTAAATCAGACAGTGTTGATTCCAAAGCAGAATCTATAAAATCACAGAGGGAACACAGGGAATCACTGACAAAGCCCAAACTTAAAGAAACAAAAGTGTAAGTGTTTGTCAGAATGTACTCTAGGGTTACCACTGCAATCATTACCTTTCATTGATTTCATGGCCGCAGTCACTACTATCGCCACCAATATCATCATCAACATTATTATCACCATCACTACTTCTTTCCAGTGAACTTCCAGTCAAAATGGACGCTAGGCGGGGGCACTGTTTGGAGCCGAGGCAAATTTTTTGCATCTGTCGGACGGTGGCCGATGCAGTTTTGCTCCATTTGTAGAGTGGATATAGTTTCGTCGCCCAGCTTCTGAGTTGAATGCATGGCATGACAATGTGAGCTGCGGATTTCATTTGGAATGTTTTTTCGACTGTGACCAACGGGGTGGTGTGAATTGTAGATTCAGAAAATGGCGCATGGCCTGTCATCGCAATGTTGGTGGTGCCCGTATGTGATTAAAATTGATCGCGTGGACAACTGCTGATCTGTTGGCGACTTCTGCTACCATCAGTGATGAACTGCATTTCTAATGTCGGACTGTTATGTTAGCACTTCGGATGGCTACCGTATGCTTTAATGCGAGTGTATGCTAGATATGCTGAAACAGCAATCTGTCAATCTTTCCACAAGGGACTGTGATAAATATTCTGTGTGTTTTTTGTTGGCACAGGAGCGGAGCAAAGATGGGGTGGCCCGTTTGCTATGAAGCTGAAACTAAGATTACCAGATTACCAGACCAGACTACTTTCTTTCATAAGCACAATAATCACCACCTCCACTTCGCCAGTCACGGCCACCACAACCATAGCCACCAGCACCTACTCTGCAAGCAGCTCTATCATGACCACAGCAGCCACAAGGGAACAGTAGTCACAGGTTAACACCATACTATGAATGATATTGATCGGCTTGTCCCCTCTGGGATGCTACCCAAAGGTTTACCATACCATCCTGATATTTAACAATTTTAATCTGGATAGCAGTCTAACATGGAAGATCTTAGATACCCAGTTCAACTTCTAAAGAAGTTATAATTAGGGCACATGTAACAGCCAGGTATATCCTGCAGTCCTAAGCTGCTAGGAAATAATAGTATAAACACAACAAAGCCGGCGCAGATTTCCAGACTGCAGTGAATTAAACAAAATTAAAAAAAACTATACACATCACTCTCAGATGACTTATGGCAAAAATGCCAGGAAATGAAATGCTCAGTGAATCCTGATAAGGACTAGTTTGGAAATGAAAGAGCTGATAAACATGCTAAGGAAAATGCAAATGAAGAACAACTTTACATAGCAGTCTCTTAACAACAGAAGAAGAAAATAATGAAATAAAATCAGAAAGCCATTCATTACCAGCACAATATAGTTATCATTTTATGGACAGACCAGAGAAAGTTATTAATCTACTCCTTAGAACAGGACACAGTCAACTTCGCAGCGGCATGTACACACAATTTAAGACACATGTGTATATGTGGATTGGCACCTGAGACAACAGGTCATATCCTCCAAGACTGTCCCAAATACAACATATCAAGGCAATAATATTTTGGCTGAGAGAAACACAGGCGCAAGTGGGTCGCTGAGTGAATTACAACAGACAGTAAAGTACATACTAGAGACAACACTGCAGATATAGATAATCTATTTTAAGCAAACGAAAGAAGGAAAAGGACTAGTCGTTATCAGGATTTAAGAACAAACACCAAAAGGGAACAACAGTGAAAGCCTTAACAATATAATTCTTGTCAGACATGTGTGTCCAGCAGCCAGTTAGAAAACAGAACATTTCAATATCATCCAAAAAAGCTTACCCCCAACAAAAATCTAAAATATAACTGGCTTTTTGAAACAGATTGAACAAGATCAAATTGTTGTTTTTGTAAAAACAATAACAACATCCTTAGTTATACTAGAGTAATTCCTGCATAGAGCTGAGACTTTCTCTTTGATATCCCTACCATAGAGCACTAAATAAGGATGTGTAAGGCATATTCTTATCTAAAAATAAGTGCCAAATATTATTACCCCTTGCATAAATAATTCAACAGAATAAAGGTTGAAGGTTAAAGGGTTAAAGTCATGAGGATCAAGTCATTGCACTAGGTATTATCCCATATGGCTCAGTCTCTGTCCACAGAATGGCTGGATGTTTGCTGAGAGCGTCACACAAAGCACCATCATCGTAACTCCGACAATGATCCCTAGAGGTCTCTTTAATAATAGCACTCAATAGAAAAACAACACATCTTTGAAATAGACCCACATCCTTCGGAGCACAGTCCAAGCAGCTTAACCCCTTCACCATGTGGCGTGGGTAGTCCTGTCTGGCAACACATGCTCAACATATAAGGGGCATTAAAAAAAAGTCCATCACTTATAGAGAAGATGAAACATGAATCTGTCTAAGCTGCAGTCAACATGTCTGAGCTGAAGAAAAGCTTGAAATGTGGGGGTTTACCCAGGACTTTTTGTTGTTGTTGTTCTAAAAGAAAGGTGCTAGTACCCATCATAAAGTACCTAAAACAGATGGTAGTACCCATCATAAAGTATCTAAAACAGATGAAAGTACCCATCATAAAGTATCTAAAACAGATGGCAGTACCCATCATAAAGTATCTAAAACAGATGGCAGTACCCATCATTAAGTATCTAAAACAGATGGCAGTGCCCATCATAAAGTATCTAAAACAGATGGCAGTACTCATCATAAAGTATCTAAAACAGATGGCAGTACTCATCATAAAGTATCTAAAACAGATGGCAGTACCCATCATAAAGTATCTAAAACAGATGGCAGTACTCATCATAAAGTTATTTAAAACAGTCACAATATGTCTACTACATCATCATCATGAGGTGCCTTGCTGACTGGCGTGAGCGATCATGCCTCTCCACAATCTGCGATCTTCTGCAGCATTTTTCAGTTCGTTGGCTGACACACGTTCATGCCATGCAACAAGACTGTCAAGAATCTTCTCTCTTTTTCTTCCTCTATCCCTCCTTCCACAGATCTTTCCAGTGGTCACAACATGTTCTATTTTCCCTCTTCTCATAACATGGCCGAAAAATGATGACTGTCCACTTCTGATGTCTGTGATAAGTTGTCTTTGGGCTCCCGCTTCTTTCAAAACTTCTTGGTTGCTCTTTTTGGCTGTCCAAGGTATTCTAAGCATTCTTCTGTAAAATCACATCTCCGAGGCCTCCAGAAATTGTTTGGCCTGCTTACCGAGTCCAGGATTCACATCCATATGTTAAAACTGGATGTATGTAGCAAGCAAGAATTCTTTTTCTAACTCTCAATGACAAGGATATATTGCACAAGATGTTCTTGTGTCTACTACACAAGCGCAGAAAAAAGTTATACCTAAAAAAGAACAACAAAAATGCTGGTAGTGTATATTGTTGCATACCTGTTAACAACAAAAAAAGCCTTGGGTTTATGTATGTCAGTTAATTGTCTCTCTTTATTGTTGTTTAGAATATCATAAAAATTTTAACTCTGGTACTTTAGTGTTTGGACTCTCAATGGAATCCATCACATACTTTTTGTCTGAATACTAATGTTCACTTTATATATAATCTATAAATTATACCCAGATGATCTCACACTCTTAGTAATTTTTTTTTCTTTGTAGGTTACTAACATGCTTTCTGCTTGTACTAACGATCTGCTTGTCATAGTAGTCTTAACTGAGCATTGCCTATGCTGTATTTCTAATAATACTAACCTGTTATTCATTGGTTAAATCTCATGTAAAGTATGGGATACAGAGTTACTGAGCCACAGATTGTGGTATGCCAGGATCAGAGTTCAAACTGGCAAGATCTAAGACCTCTCTACATTTGTCTACAGTTGTTCTAGTCCAACACAGAGGTTATGGAAAGACTGCAAATGAAAAGAGAATTATTGGGAAAAAAAAGAGACAGTTGAAATACTTTGGTCACATTAAAAGACACAACACCCTTTAAATAACCATACAGGAGGTAAAGGTCAAGAGCAAGAGGTGGACAGCAATACAAGTGGGAGGACAACATCAAGAGATGGACGGGCAGCAGTCTCAGAGAGTGTACAATCAGGACAAGAGACAGGGCATGTTGGAGATCTTTTGCAGCCAACCATCACTGTGGAGACAGCGCCTGACTGATTGATTGGCGGTCGTTCTAGAGAAGGTTTCTTACCACAGATCTGGCCAACATAAATAAGTCAAGGTACATCTGCCTGAGAGGCAAGTAATCAATAATCTGCAAAGATATGCGCCAGATCTGTAAAATGAATAGGTATTCAATTCTCATGTTCCAAACATACTGGTGTTACCTGGTGTTCAAACATACTGGTGTTACCAGGTGTTCAAACATACTGGTGTTACCAGGTGTTCAAACATACTGGTGTTACCAGGTGTTCAAACATACTAGTGTTACCTGATGTTATTAAGAGACATGCTTCCTCTACTCTTCCCTTCGTTTTTTGGTGCTAACTCAAAAAAAAAAACACACACACAAAAATGATTAACTGTAGTGGATATGTGTATCTGCTGCATGCTTGGGGGATGATTTGTGTTAAGGTCCTAATTTCTTCCCTTGTAGTAGATCTCATTACAGGTCATCCCATTGTGGGTTGTGGGGCCCCATTCTATGGGAAGAAGAGAACCACTGCCTCCCCAACAAGGATGTTGGAGTCAACTAATTGGGGGTTTTCTTCAAAGTCAAAGTGCACCCACCTGAGAGGTAAGGAACCAACAGTCTGCATAAAAATATGTCAGACCTGTAAAATGGATGTGCATGCAACACTCAGGTTTTGGAACGAATCTAAAGTCCAGTGGTGGAAGAACAAACAAAATTTTCTGCCAGAGTTTGCAGCCGGTGAATGCGAAGAAGAAGAAGAAGAAGAAGAAGAAGAAGAAGAAGAAGAAGATTACAGGTCACATCATTGCGTTTTGCTATTTATAAAGATTCCAGATAATTTAACCATATTCAAACAAAGAAAACACAAACAGTAGATTGCATAATATATTATCTGGCATATTTCGCTGATCT